GAACAAATACAACATACAATACATGTACAACATCCCCCAACAGCCACTGGGCTTGTCAAAGGCAGGACAGGCATTAATTCTTAGGAATACACAAAAGTGCTGAAGTCTGCCAGATGCCAAACTGAGGTATTCACCACTGATAATTACGGCAGAAGAACTTCACAAAGGAGGATCTCACAGGACTGTGAAAGCACATAAATAAAGGGTAGCTAAGACTATAAACAGACTAGAAGCAAAAATACACTTTGACACAGAAAAAGAATACCACCAAGTGCCAGGGATAATTGAAAAGGAGAGTTGGGTTGAAATTATTTTGGGTTACGGCAGGGAAGGCAGAGATCTGGTGATTTCAATCACTGGCTTGTCACAGGAGGTGAGCAGCCAGGGCAGCTGGACACGACCAAATGGATAGTCACATCGCAGCTACACGGACATGAGCAAGCAAAGAAACCCCACAGGGCTGGAAGGACACATCCTTCGTATTTCTGAGGCTACAAAGAACAGAAGACAAAGCAGACCTCTTTCCTCCATAAAATGTACTTTTTCTTCAGTTGTTTATGTGTTTTCACAGCTCCTATACAAAGTACTTTCGGTCTGAGCTTTCCTAGGATCCCATTTGCCTTTTCTAAGGCTGAAATGCATTAGTGGCTAAATACATTAATCATCCCGTGACTAATACACCCGACTTTCTCCACTTGTCATGTCCAACCAAAGCATTCCTAAAGCAGAAATTCCTGTTACTCATCCCTGCTTATTGTAAACTGAGGCAAAGCATTCATTTAGTTTTCCATTCATACTCAGATTATCTTTAACCTTCACCATAACCTTCCTACTCAGTGGCCCCATTTCTTTCCTTATCTTTTATTTATCTTGCTTATGAATCGCAGACTAAATAAGGTACACCTGAATTCATCCGATTCCTATTCCTAAATTAATTTTATTTTTCCTGCGTGACATTACAAAACCTCCTCTGGACTGGTAATGCCTCTGAGCTTTATGTAATCAGCAAATGTTATTAGTGCATATCTTATTTTTGTGCTCAAGTCACTAGTGATATTAAATAATATCTGTATGAAAATCAACATTGCCCAGAGTCAGCTCCCCATACACAGCATCCAGTTTTTCTAATCCCTAGCGTCTTCATAATCACCATGTTAAGTAGTTTACTGAATGACTTCCAGGTACATGTGATCTACTGCTTTTTTGTTGTTGAGGAAATCACTCATCTTACCAAATAAAGGTTTCGAGCATAATCTGCTTTTATTAAAAAGAAGTTGACAATTATCCCATTTTCCATTTACTTCCAGGTCTTTCATGAGTCCCTCATTCAAAATACATTATAAAGCTTTACATAGAGCTAGGATTAAATCAGCAAGCCTCTATTTGCCTAGTTATTTTTTTTTTCTTTTAAATACTGGATTTGTATTTGCTGCTCTCCAGTCATACAATACCTCTCCTGACTTTAGTTTTATTAAAAATCTCTCCTACTAAGCCTATAATATCGTGCACCAGTTCTTTCTCAGTGCTGTGATGGGAATGATCCTGTCCCAGCTGTCTTGAGCCCCTTGATCTATCTGAATCTTGCTTCTGTCACAAGAATGGCATTTTCTTCTTTGACACCTCCGACCATCCTGTCTTTGACCCTATACTCAATATCCTCTTCCTTCCTGAAAACTAAAGCAAGAGATACATTTATTCTTGGGCCATACCTATCTTTTATGCCCAGCTTACCCTTTCTTCAGAGTGGCCCTACTTCTTCTACGATGATTTATTTACAAGATTGAAAAAACACGTGATGATTTCCTACTTCAACATTTTTCTTGATGTTGGAAAAAATAATTTTTAAGGTACCAGAAGTGAAATGTTACCTTATAACTATTGCATTTGATATGCCTTAGCGAAGTGGTGACCTTTCTATGACAGTCACTCCTATGAAGCTTGGAGGATGAACATGTGATATTGCAAAGCAACATTAATATTTAAATGCAACACCAATCTCAGAAAGGCTTTTCAATGCCATAACTGGCTCAGACGGCAGGATCCACAGATGGAGGATCAGTTAACAGTGATATGAAATTGAGAATAGCTTCGTTAATCTTTACTATGAGCCATATGCCTTGAAGTCAATAGAGTTATTTCAGTTTTATACCACCATACACTTTAATAAGAGTCTGGCATAATTTTTCTCCCTCATAAATGGTGATGATTGCTTTTTAAAAAATTCATATCTTCATCTTATTCATGGAGCAAACACCTTAAGCTGCCATTTAGCTTTGACATCCACGCTAATGTTCTTATATTTGGGGCTGGCTTTGTGCCATATGTTCATAGCATTTTGGCCTCCCTGGTGCATGCTGAATTTTACCCCCTTTTTCATCCGGAAATGCCTTCTCTTCTGTCTTAGTGGTGATCACTATGCACTGTTCAAGATCCTTATCTACTTTAGTGGGAAAAAGTGAATGGGAGGACACAATCCTTTTCCTCATGGCCACCCTGCAGCAGCAGATTGCTTACAGATCTAAGATGAGGGGCTCTCCTGGAGCCAGTGATGCTTCATTGGTGATGTCTGTGCTGCAGCCAGAGGTCTGACAAGCTACTGCTCTCCTGGAGCTCAGCAGCAGTGAGCTCAGCTTGGACTGCAAAGCCTATCTCTGACACTACAGCAGTAACCAGACAGTAAATGAACTCGGTACTGTTAGTGGCACCCAAGCTAGGCAGGCATGCTTAGATGTGAGGAAGATAACCGGACTACCGAGTACCAGGAGAACAAAAAATGCATCGAGTTCCTCCCTCTATAGAGTATTCATGATCAAAGCATTAATGCTACATTTTAGTACATTTGCATAAACATTCAAGCATTGTTAAATTGCAACAAAAGGGAATTCTACTTACAAAAACTTTCACTGTGGAAAAGTCAATCTTTTCTGTTCCTTCCCTTTTGAATTTGCACAGTATGGTGCTGCGATCTGGTTTTTTGGTAATATTTTGGACGCTGAACCATATCTTTTTGGTCTGTGCACCATTCATGTATGACAGATAAACCTCTACCTCAGTTTTAGAAATATTCAAGTTGTCAGTTTCTTTCTAGAGGGAAAAAATTGAAGATCATAAACAGTCACTAAACACAGTAAGAAATAAAATGTTCCCCAACGACTATTTTAAATAAGGAATTAAAGTTTATTACTTTCAAACTTACATATATTTTTAATTCCAGGTCAGGATCCAGCTCAGTGTGTAGCTGGTAGTTAATGAACACTGGGTCAGGGTGATAGTGTAATTTTACACATGGTATGAAGGTAGTTTCCACTTTTAACATCATATCAACAACTTTACCCTCTGTTGCATGGCTCAGGCTTGGAGTTAAGTAATGATATTCAGATTCATTTCCAGGACACCTAGAGACCTAGAAATGCAATAGCAAAGCTGTAACGGTCATTAAGTACTCAACAGTGGGTACAATTACAAACAGAGGCACTCAAAATCATTTTAACATCTTCCTGACTTCACACAGATACCTCCTAAACCTCTTCTCTGCGATCAGGGCTGCATGCAGAGCACCTGGAAAAGTTCCTGTGTTAAGCTTGTGTCTACCTTTAAGCACATTTATCACACACTCTGCATGCTGCTTTAAGGCAGACTGCACACTGCTAAGGCAGCTATTTCCTGCAGTGAGACAGGAATAGGGACAGTGGTTTCTCTTTCCTTCCCCTCAGTGCAGGTGAGGAGAAGAGCAGGAGGAGCTCTCCAGCACCCCTGGGCATTGGCTTTCCCCAGCTTAACTCCTGATAGAGGGGAGCTGCTACAGTCACCCCATTGGTTACACCATGGGGGAGTGCTGCTCTTTTCTGGTCTCTGTGTTGCAAGCCCAGGAGGTGACAGGCTGCCCACCTCCTCACAGCTTTGGAGGAAGCGTTTAATCCCAAAATCAGCTCCAGTCTCCTGCCCCTTGCTGAGGCAGTGGCACCATTTGGGTTTTCAGCACAAAGCCAGAGAGTACGCTACCCCCTCCTCCAACAGACCCGCATATGGAGGCCGGGGAGGCTCAAAAAGGACAAATTTGGAGCAAGTCGCTAGAGCATAGAAAAAAGGCTCAGGGAATTATGCAGGAGAAGAGCTTATGTGTATCCATGATCCTGTACTGAGAATGTGTGCAACTGTAATCCCACAAGCGGTCATATTTATTTCAGTAGGGTGACTGATGTGTGCCTCCAAGTGTTTGAAAAATATTGAGATCCTCCTGAAACCTTAGGAATAAAACCTAATCCCTTAAGAGACCTCTATTTGGTATTGTACAGGAGATTAAGACTTACGGTGAGGTTTGATCTCTGGTCATCTGAAATAATCACACTGTCCACCACATTAAAATTTCTACCAATTGTAGTAATTTTGCGACCACCACTGTAAAAAAAAAAGGGGGGGTGAAAGGAGGTTTATATTATCTGTTTTCCCACAAATAAGTCCTGCATTAAGGCTTCAGCAGTGAATAAACTACTCATGCATTTTGCTTCGGTAGCAGCCAATATAATAAAGTCAAACTGCAGGACAAGATAATTTGAGCTATACAGTGTACTTCCATCCTTCCCTCATGATGTAACTGCAAAACCAAATGACTTGATAGCATACACATGCATACTCCTTTTCGGGGACTCCCCACCTTGTTTTCTATTCCTGCAGCCAAAGAACTAGACTGTGATTTAATATTCTGTCTTGAAGACATGGCATTTCACTGCCCCAGAGCAGCCCCGCCTGTTCTTGCCTTCTTCAGGACAAACCGATGGTGCCAGGCACCTCACAGGAAACATTCTCAGCAGTGTTCAGACCATCTGTCTCAGCACACACAATGATGCTTGTGTCTGAGGGCTCTGGCTCACAATCTCTGCTGAACACAGTTGGAGTGGTTTAAGGTATTATTAATTTCCAGCTGCCTGAGCTGCCCCTCACCTGGAGATGAGGGCATGCATCCTAGCTGCTCAGCTGCTGCAGCTGCCTGCCCAACTTATTACCTGAAATCCACATTTGCCTGTCCTTGATGCCAAGATATCAGATTAAGAACATGAAAGTAGGTAAAAACTGTACAGGCAGAGGGACAGGTGGAAAGCTGTGCCTGAGAATATCTTAAAACCACCCTGTAAGTCTTTCATTGGAGCTGTGAGTCTCCCACAGAACACAGCAGAGGCTTGAAAAGGGCTCCTTTGGCTTTAGGAAACCCGGTCCTAAAGCAAGTTCATGCGTATCACTGCAGTGGTGGTTATTTTCACTTCATTTCCAATTCACTGATACTGTTTCGGAGGTGAAGGGTATGTTAGTATCAAGAAATCAAAGTTAATTGGAGTTTGAATTTATGCGTGCTACCCATATTTTGGATGTAGCTTTAGTACGAAGAGACTACTTTTGACTTCTACAAAGGAGACCTGGGGTGGGCAGGAAGGAGTTTACAGAATCCTGCAGAACACAGAATCCGTCTTGCAGCTATCATGACCCTATCTGTATGTTAAATGTTAAATCAGTTCACCGGCATAAATTCATCCTCCACAACAGGTTACAGCAGTCATCCAAGTTTACATCAGCTGCAGTCCGGCCAAGGAAGGAGGCTCATATCGGCTCAGTGGGACTACATTGTAATAAATACATAAAAAGTATAGAAAGACCAATTTACCTTATCCAGGAGGTATTGGGTGTGATTCCAAAACATGATGGCAGTGAAACATAATGTAGGGTCATTGGTGGTGAACATTTTTTCCCATTAGCCTGTATACATATACTTTTGGCCTCTTTACGTGTCGGTGGGAGAGCAAATGTCATTTGCGTATCGTTTAGCACATTTCTAACTTTAATGCTGGAGGAGAAAGAAAACAGTTAGATGCCAAAAGAGAGATGCCACTATGCCACTCGTTGGTGTTACTACACAAAGCCTATAACCTAAAGCAAAGGATGAGGAGAGAAGAGGAACGAATCTCTCTTTGAGCTGCCAGATGGAGGTGGAAAGAGAGAGCAGGGAGTTGAAAAGACAAAGTAGGACATCTTTTGGATGAAGTTGCTATATGTTACAATAATCACAGAAGATGGTACGGATATTGGTCTTATGGCCTTGGGATGAGGCTATGTAATGTAATGTGTGATTTTGCTGTGTAAACTGTGTACTTTGCTGTGTACTTCTCTGTGCTGCCAACTCATTAGCTAGTGAAGAATGAGAATCTTCAGTTTCCTTTTCTTTCTTCTTTTTCTCTCTCTTTCCCCCTTCCTTTCTTCCTTTCTCTCTTTCCTCCCTTTCTGTCTACTTCCTCTCTCTCCCTCCTTTCCCTCTCTCCATCCTTCTCTCCTTTTGTTTTCTGCGGTCCCCAAGAAATTCATGGTTCAACTAAAAATTGAACTGTACCATAGGAATACTTTTTCAAGTGCTAGCTATGTAAGATGGGCTTGGTAATCACAGGCAGCCATTGCAGCTGCACCTGAAAATGACTGATTCAAAATAAGATAGCCTAATTATCTAGGGGGTTACTCTGTGCAATCATCAACAGAGAAAAGTACACACTGTTGCATGAGAGATTCCCTTCCCTGCCATGGCGTCTGTGCTTTCACAAGCAGAATCCTAGAATATATGTGGGATATTTTGAAGCAGAGGAGGGTCAAATAAAAGCTGAGGCTTTCCTGTGACCTAACTTCTTGTTGCCTGCTGCAAGGCACAGAAGGCCACAGGTACAGAACTGCCGTAACTACTGCTGAGAGCTGCCCACCTACCCACCCATCCCTTGTATTGTACCCAAACACCAAATTCGTTTCCATCCTTCGGGAATTTAAAGTGGAAGTATAACTAAAGGAGTGCAGAGCACCCCCCCCTCTGCTGAGGAGAGGTGCATGACAGCTGTTCACACAACTGTATTGCTAGGGCAAAATGGGCATAATTTTCACCATGCAAAGTAAATAGTATTATTTTTCAGAGCTTAACTCACATGTCTGGTTTACAGCCAGTGATTCCAGTCAGTATCAGTTTTATGCCTGATGCACGTGTAAAGTTTTCTCCTTTGACTGTTATTTCACTTTTGCCTAATGTAGAAATCCACAAAGGTTCAATGGAATGAATGCTGATATGCTATTAGAAAACAAAGCAAAACAAAATCTAGTTATAAAAAGGCGAGGCAATTAAACAACAGCTGCAAAAACAACCACCACTCAGGAATGCGGGTTTTATGGCACTGGGATACATTTTTCTTATTAATTTCAAATCTTGTTAAGCTTGATCCTGTGAAGTACTGTCAATCACAACTTATTTACAAGCCGACTATTTTTACCTACGTATTTTATATTTCAATTTATCTCATAACAAAGTTGCCCAAAGGAATCACAATCTGACATACTGGAAGGTAAGTATCATAAAAACTCAGCTTGAAATGAGACACTTTGTGTGACGGTTGAAGAACTAAGAAACAACACAAGACAAAACCCATGGTGCTGTCACTATGAGAGGTCAGAGAAACAAATGAAGGCATCTCTCATGACCTGAAAAGGGGAAGCAGGGTCAAATCCTAGAATGAAAAGTCAAGAAGGAGTCCCAGAATTAGCTTTACTAGAAAGTTTTTTCAAAGTCATACATAGAGCTAAAGGTCCAACACAACTGTGGGGATTTTTTGGTATCCCATTTTGATGCTAAGAAGTTTACAAATCTATTTTCCAGCATTTAAGAATAATCTTAGTTTGCTCTGATGCTGTCACAGTCTTGCAGAAATGTCGCCAATTTTTAAACTGTGCTTTTCTTTGTGTATCTTTATATTTATTTATTCTAACTTACACACACTTCTAGCAAGAAGAGATTTTTTCCCTAGTGTATTTACTTGATACATTTGACAGCATCTCATGTTTAATCAGTTTTGCTGCTTCCCCAGTTTTATAATCACACAGACGGTTTCCTCTCTGTATGTTTCAGACAACAAACTGAAAACATTCATAAAACCCCAGGAAAATACGCACGTGAAACCACAAACTGTTTGGGACCTTCTCAGGCAAACGATTTCTAGCTTGCTTTTAGACTGCCTGTAATACTAGTTTAAAGTGAGTTTTTACAGCATTGTGATTATCCTGATTTCTGCTGTGCACCTGTGGACACATCCACTGAGCAGTTCAGCCTTCCTGACCCTGAGAAGGGCGCTGGTGCAAAACCTCTAGGAAAGTCCTGGCCACAGGGTTTTTCTCCCCACTAATCTTTTCATGTACCCAGAGCAGCACCAAGCCTTTGGGCTGGTGGCCTGAGGGAACCACCGGGGTCACATTGCCATCCACTGCAAACACAGCGTTTGCCCATTTCAGAAAGGTCCCCGGCACGTTGTCCCCACATGCTACCATGGCCCGCTGAATGCCAGAGTGCTCGGGAGCAAATGTGAGACCTGTCACAACTGATTGAAAGCTGCAACTTGTGCCTTAGGAAAGGGCAAGAGAGTGCAAAGGCTGGGGCCAGAGGGCCTGCAAAAAGGGCCTCCAAGATGACCTCTTGTATGGATAATGGAGGAGGGCAAAGGAAACCCCTGACAAACAGCCTGAGGGGGAAAATTCACACCCACCCTGACTTGGGGATCAGTTTAACCCTTAGTACTCGAGCAGGACAACTGAAGCAGAAATCTGAGAGATTAAAGCCAGCGAAGCACCAGTGCTTTTCTCCACCCGTGTCCCATCCCTCTGCTTCTGCCCAGCCTCCAGCGCACCGAGGACAGTCAATATCCTCACACAAATCCAGAAGCCAAATAAATATACAGAAAGGAGTAAAACACTGCTTCGGGGCTCTCACTGGTAACCAGCAGGGAGCCCTGAAGCACAGGAATAAGGCAGTATCACACAAACACACAGAGATCCCCCACAGCTGCATCAGGGCTGTGAGCCCCAGTGAGGGAAATGCCAGGCATCCCCTGCTCAGGGGTGCGGCAGGACGCTGCGGCGCTTCAGGGCTCCCGCTGGTCTCTCTGCCAGGCACCGCACACCACGGGGCGCCTCAGCTTAGCTTGCCTTGTTTCTTTTCTCACACCAAGAAGAAATCATGGGAAGAATGGCTCACTCTGGAAGTTTCAGTCCCCCCTGATATCATGCCTTCCCTGTGGCTACACGACACGGACTCCCTCGCTGCATCCTGCCTTGGACTCATGGCGTCAGCGTAGTCGCTCGCAGCACTGAGGCGAGCTGGCCTCGGCTGTTCGAGAGCCTGCTTCCCGGCTTGACCACTGTGGTCCGCGACACCTTCCTCAGCAGCAAAAAAACCCTGTGAATTTCCTCACTGAACGCGGGAGGGACCAAGCATCCTCGCTGGGGTCTGTGGTGCTTGTTTCCCCAGCGCCAGAGAGCTGCTGACCTTCCAGTCACTGCGTGGCAGGGAGAGAGACGCCCGGCAGCAAGAGGGAATGGAGACAGCAGAGAGGCAGAAGGATATTTCTAAAAATCACTAGTTGTGAGGCACACGATGAAAGCAGTGTAAACACACAGAGAGACATACAGAAAGCGTGCGCCAGGTCCTCAGGTAATATAAATCAGCACAGCCCTGTCAACTTCAGTAGAGCTCCACATTTCTGAGCTGCAGCCCGCTCCCCCCTGTCCCCTGGACAGCCTAACGCTTCCCCGGGGCTGCATAAACAGTGGCAGCCCCATCCTCAGAGGTGTGGTTAGCATGGCTGCAGGTCGCAGCAAGATATCTGGCAGCGGCCCAGGTTAAGCAGCCTCTGCCACCCCGGGGAGCTCATCCCTGCTCCGGCACAGCCCCTCCTGTGGTGCCAGCACTGGGCCCCGATGCCACACAAAGAACTGGATTGGGGAACTGGCCCAGATGAAAAATAACCTGCCGAAAGACAACGGTTATTTCCAGCCAAATCAGTTCCCCAGCCAAGTGTACTCGTGCAACCACTCCAATTGCTGCTCTGGCGCAGGAAGGGGGAAGGTGCATGCATGGAAACCAGCAGCTGGAGTCAGAAGGAGGGCTGGGGCTGCCACTGAAAAAAAAGTATATTAATCTAAATGCTTGGCTGGGGTTGTGGGAAAACACAAATCCTCTTTCTCAGCTCTCCAGTACGTTCGCCTTAAAGCACCAGCAGTCAAAGGAGAGCAGGATTTCAAATGCATTTCAAGCCCTCTGAATGGATCAATCACTTCTAAATAAACATCTGCTTTTGGACTGCCTCTAGTACTTTCACTGCCTTGTCCATCACTGTCTTTCCAAGATAAGGTGTGTGGAAGAAAGCCATCTCCCAGGCAATTCCAACTATTTACCAATGTCAAATTACTGCACTTGGAAGCAGAGCAAAGAAGAATTTCCTCTGTTCTTTCACCAGCCATAATGCTTTATATGCAGACCAAATCCAGAATATTAATGCTCAGAAGCACAAGTATTGCAATCCCACTCGTCTCTGTGAAAAACAAAATGGATTTTGTGGAGTTGTTTACAAAACTTCAGCTGAACAGCTGAATTTAAGAGGTTGTGCTGGTTTTGGCTGGGATGGAGTTAATTTTCTTCACAGTAGCTAGTATAGGGCTATGTTTTGGATTTGTGCTGAAAACAGTGTTGATAACACAGGGATGTTTTAGTTACTGCTGAGCAGCGCTCACACAGAGTCAAGGTCTTTTCTGCTTCTCACACCACCCCACCAGCGAGTAGGCTGGGGGTGCACAAGAAGTTGGGAGGGGGCACAGCCAGGACAGCTGACCCCAACTGGCCAAAGGGATATTCCATACCATGTTGTTGGCATCTGTCTTCCCAAGTAACCGTTACGTGTGATGGAGCCCTGCTTTCCTGGAGATGGCTGAGCACCTGCCTGCCATGGGAAGTAGTGAATGAATTCCTTGTTTTGCTTTGCTTGCGTGCGTGGCTTTTGCTTTACCTATTAAACTGTCTTTATCTCAACCCATGAGTTTTCTCACTTTTACCCTTCCGACTCTCTCCCCCATCCCACCGGGGGGGAGTGAGCGAGCGGCTGCGTGGTGCTCAGTTGCTGGCTGGGGTTAAATCATGACAGAGGTAATTCCTGTCTTCACAGGTAAAAGTTTGGGTAGTTCTAACAAAACATTTAGAGATAAGAACACAGTTGCTATTTATACCAACTGTGCTATCACTCACAGAAAAGCAGAAACCAAAAAGTGTGGGCAGCAAATCGCTATGTACTTACTCATCAGTCAAATTTCTCTTCACTACTCATTTCTTTCCTAACACCTGTATGTCATAAGCAACCACTGATGACAAGATCGCTCAGTTTTATGAGAAAATAAAACCATTTTAGCACCATAAAGAATGAAGGGATAACCTCGTGGTTAAAGGGCTCGCCTACGAAGCGAAAGGTTAAAGGGCTGGCCTATGAGGCAAATCATATAGGCTGTACGCTCACATACAGTCTATATGATTTCAACAGAGAACCCAACAAACAGATTCAGAAGGTACTTTGGCACCAATGACACTCCTTCCTTTCCAGTGATCCAGCTTGAGTGGGATAGATGGAGAATAGCTCCATCTCCAGTTTTGTCTACAGCCTGGAAGCAAGGAAAATTTTTCTGTAAGTGTGAACCAGGGATTTACTAACATCCAGAGATTTCAGTTCCTGGATGCATCTTCTAGCCACTTGTCTGTTATGCAGAAACTGGGTGGCACATCCTCCCCTTCCTTCTGCTCCCCTGGCAGCTATGTTTCAGGAGCGGTGATCTGGCTGCATAAAATGAGGAAGAGGTTTGAGACTCTGAAACCTAGTTTCACAGAGTTGTCTGTGACAGCAGAACCCAAACATGCATTTAAGTCTAAGTAAGAGATTAAGTCTGCGATGTTGTTCTTTGGGGTTTTTTTGTTGTTGGTCAGTTCATACGTCCCAGCCCTCAGCACGTTGGCTCCCGTGGAGTGCCTAAATACAGCATACAGGGGCTTTGGCATCTAAAGCAATATTGTAAATACTGCATCTAGAGGTAGGCACATGACTATTGCAGTGTCCAACCCACAGAACCTCAATAATGCCAATCTTAAAATGCTAACTAACCTCTGTTTTCTGCGCAGTGGCAATCCCCTTGGAAGCAGTTGCATTACAACTATCCTGAAAAAAAATCAGCATTTCTCCATGTCAGGACAAGGAAGAGACAGACTGCTGCTCAGATGTAAAAAATACAAGGAAAAGGCATCACAGGGGATTCCAGTCCTCCCCAACAAACTTCACCTGGCAGGTGGTGGCAGGAGAGACACGCGTCGATTTACAGCTGGCACACTCACCCTTGTGTATACATCGTAAGCAGCTGGTAACACAGAAAACAGAGTTTTTGTAAGACACAGGAACTCAATCTAGATTCAGCCATGAATGTGAAATTTCAAGTGACAGAAAAAAGCACAAACCCAAGAGAACAACCTGGCAAACATGTAATGAAATGCATAAAACCTGCGTTTACCCTCCAAGCCTATTGTTCTGTTGTGCTTATTCTGAGGACAAATTTAGTATGAAATATAATCTGTGCTGAGATGCTGAGAGTCACAAATTTCCAAAAAGCATGAAGCAGATGGAACACCTTGGGTTTCATTTTGCTGTGGTCCTCTCCAATACATAAGTGGCCAGATAATACTTTTTAAACTCACTGATTCTTTCACAGCTTGCCTGAACTTCTGTTCTGTGTGTGTAGTGCTAGCAAGTATTGCTAGTTTGCTATTGCTTTACCCTACCAAAAAATATGCCTACTGGAGACTAGTTTGTCCCTGTCTTGCTTTGCAATGCATCTATGAGCATGGAGAAGAGCCAAGAGCAGCACAGGCCCTCTTCACGCATGCTGAGAAATGCTCTGATTTAGAGAAAGACAGTTCCTTCCCTGTGTTCCTCCAGGGACAGGGAAGTGATGTGCCAATTCCCAAAAAGAAGAAGTTCAATTTCATCCCAGGTGCCTATGAATTAGCCTCTTTGTACAGGGGAGGAGTGTTCTGAATGGGAACACTGTAGTTACCTACAGCATATGTTAGCCAGACCTTTCTAAGTTTTAACAACCGCATATCATAAAGGGTTAGGCCATGTACTGGGCACAAATGCCTTCTATGGCGAGCTCTCAACAAAGAGTGTGGCTCTGAAAAATAATGTGTACAGAACAATAGGTATTCATTATTCCTATTAGCAGACTAGATGTTACTTTCTGGTTTAATTGTATTCCTGATACCCATGGACCATATTTAAATTGCATCTGGCTCTATTAAAAAACAGCTCCCTGAAGTGACTTTTACAGAATCTCTTGACTCCTTTGATCTAGGTCTTATCCTGCGTACCAGGGGCCCACCTTTTTCACAAGGACAAAAAAGATTTTAATGTCACTGTGACATCCTTTATTATCTCTTCATGCACTTGTCATAAATTCAGTCATTGTAGTGACTCTCCTACAGCTAGCTGCCAGGGTCCTGTTAAATAAAAGAGTCATCAGAAGAAGTAGCTTTCTAAGGATAATAAAAAAAGAGGAAAAGGAGGAAATGGGCCAAGAAAAGGGATTTGACTATCTTTAGTGAAATGTATTTCCTTAACAAATACCAACAAAAAGAATGATCATACTTCAGCCCCCCCTCCCCACACACACACATAAACCCCTCAATGAACTTCAATAGGAACCAGGCTCTTACTTTTTCAACCAAAATGTTTGTGTGATATTCCAAGAGCTTGAGGACAGCGATGCTTCGAGAACTAGACAATCTGGAAAAATGTGACTGTTAGACATATGCTGGATATTACAAGAAATAACTGCAAAAAAATAATTGAGTTGAAAGCTCATGTGCTTTCAGCTGTTCTCTACATGGTATGCACCTTCTCTCATACATTTGTTCACACTTCTGACTGATAAAAATAACTAGATTTTGTCCTTCCATAGCACCCTTCAGCTGAGTTATTCCAAGACTTTATACACACTCATTAATTAAGCTTGATGCCACCACTGCATGACATACAGAAGTAATGTTATTGTCAGGATACAGATAAGGAAATGCTACTACGGAGCAGGGATATTAAATCATCTCCCAAAGAGCACACAGTGGTATACTGTGGCACAGCCAGGCCCCGAATTCAAGCCTTCTAACACAACAGACTGTTCTAATGCAAGAGACCCCAACATACTGTACTTCTCTCTCTTTCTGTCTCAGATACTTGGTTTCAGAGCCTTCTTTTGTAATCTATGCAGTAGCAATTTTCATCCTATTTAAATCTTTTTTGATTGCATGAGTCAATTTGCCATTATTTCAGCTAGCAATTACTATACCGACAATTCACTGACAGCTGTGGAATGAAAGAGTATCTTCTCCCATGAGCAGAATACCACATCGAAAAGTAGAGTTAGATATATACCACTTAAGCCATGGTCCCTTTCATCTGTGTGCCTGCAGATGTGTACATCTGTGAAATTAATGACTGTCTGAGATCAAATGAAACCCATGCGTGCAGACTTTTCTGGCTTCTCTATGCTAGGAAGTAGAGAGCTTTTTAACCCGGGAAAGTTACACAGATTTAAAGTATATCTACCTTGCAAAGGTAGAGAAAGCTTTGTACATCTACATTGTTAAATGAGAGGTATCTCCTAGCTCTACACGTCAGCATGGCACTTGGGTGCTCACCGCAAAGGTCACCTGCACCGCTTGTTAGAAACAGCCCCTGGGACCGTTCATATGCTTAAATACCTTACTAAATGGATAGCAGAGAGTCTGATTTTTAATGGTGTTTTAATGCTTGAAGATGTGGATGAGCACATACAGACATTCTGAAATCCTTCACCAAGCACCTATTTGGATCTCCAGAAATCTACGTATCTGCAGAAATCTGATATGTTGGACACAAAATTGCCTAAATCACTTGCCCAGGTCATTATATGAGAAGGGTCTCAAGCCATGAGCTACTGAAAAGTAGTATTTTACTAGGAGTAGTAAGTAAAAGTAAGGAATTTATCTGCTTCTAGCAGAGCTTGTCTTATCTTTTAAGTTTGTATAAATACTTTAAAAACAACACTGTCAAATATAGTTTCCTGATTTTGTCTGTGTTGAAATTAATGGAACCTATTATTTTCTGTATAGCCTGGGCTGACCTTTCAAAATGCACCAGACCGCGCTGAGTAGCAGGTATTTTCAAAATGTTTTTTTCCAGAAATGATACGTGAAGGAGTTTTGCAAGTGCATCGTCTTGTGAGACGGAGGTCACTTTACATGAGGTACCATAAATAGTCAACATAACTTCCACATTTGCATTATCCACTAATATATCTCATCTCGTAGAAGCATGTGAGTGGCAGTAATACTGGCAGGCACAAGCTAAGCTCACAGCCTTCTGGTCGACACTGTCAAAGGGCTCATCCTTGGCACAAAGTACAGGCAAGGCGAGCTGGCTTCTGTAACACTATACTCTGAAAACCTGCTAATGGAGTAAGAGAAAGCCTTAGTCCGAGAAGTCAGAGAACCAAAACAACGTACCCATGATTATAACATGGCTTTTGGGACTGAGTCAATAAAGGACATTTTTTTCTTCTCTAATGCATTTGTCCCTCTTAAAAATCCACTAATAGTGTTTACTAAAGACACCTTAATAGACCAGAATACTCACGGATATCACCCTAGCCGTCACCTGCTAGTGACAAAGTTTTTTCTTCTCGATTCCCAAATCAATATTGGACAGGAACTTGACACAACACCTGTATGATGTCAGAGGAGCTTTTCCCATACCAAGGCCATAGGATGAGCTCCTGAGATCCCAATATTCCAAGGAACTTCCTTCAGGGGCAAGGGTCCCTGAGAGAGAGAGCTCTTTGCAGCACTGAGCTCTTCAGAACAGGTCATTGTAAGTTCTGGTTAACATTTCACTCCTCTTTCTAAACAAAGGTATTATAAGAGAATCAGATTCATGCAGAGTATTACATGGTTTTGGGGCTATATTATCTAGGAAAAGATAAAGGCAGGCATTTATCTGAATTTTCTGTTTCCTTTTCAAGTCACTTAAGAGCACATGGTATCCTTGAGGTTGCTATCTTTGTCCCTCAGTTTAGATTAAAACTCTCTTTTGTATTCTAACATAAGCAGTTTAAAAAAGGTACAAGGTCAACCTGTATTAAAGAAGCTTTGTGCTTCTATACAGAACCTTGAAGCAAAGCAAGGGGGACATTTTTCTCCTATTAGTCAAATAACATGCTACTGTGAAGGATTATCGTCTGATCTTTAAGACCAAAGCCTAGAGAACAGCTCAAAAGTCTAGACATTCAGTAATTTACCACGTCATTCTAAAACTTGTAGTTGCCTATAAGATGCACCAAACAGATCACATGCATCATGTGTCTCTAATTCTAAGAACTACGGGTGAACAAAGTAGTATAAGAATTATTGCAAAACGATTCAACCGATAATCCAGAAAGATGAATGAAGTCAAGTCAAAAAGATGTACCAGCCAAATTGCCCCGAACCAGGTATTTTTCTGCTAATCCTCTACATGGGACAATCACTTTCTCACAAGTGTCTAAGTTAGGTTGAAACAGTTAATTGAATGTTAAGATTATTTATTGTACAGACATCCATAGTCAGAGTCTCCTCTTATTTATGCTAGTACAGTTTCTTGCAATGAGAGAAGTGTTAAGATGGGTTAATTTGTCAAGGCAGAGCACTGGACCAACACTGCTTCCATAGGTCCAGCCGGCTTGATTGTCATTGCAGCTATCTTAAGTTTCCTTAGACAGTGATTAATGGCACCATGTAAATACACTCCTAATGCTATAACACTGCACTGCTACAGGCTGAACTGAAGAAGCTGCTTCTAGCCATAGGTCGACATGTTTTATTACTTCTAGAAAGGATTCCATATTAACAAATCTTTAATTATCAAGAATAGTGTGAGTATACTCAAATCACTTGACAAAACATGAATATTTTTTTTCCAATGACATTTAATAAAAAGCATTACCTACTCTTACACTCATTAGGCCTGTATTTATGCTCAGTTCTCCTCAGTAATAAAGGACAGTGAATAAGCATTAAATACATGTAATAGTAAAACATACCATTATCAGTTATCACCGGAGTGGTTAGATTGCAGAAACAGGATGAGTTTTTCAGCACTACATTTTCGTAAAATATATCAACAGGTTTTACAATTTTTATCATACAGGAAGTAAGGATTTTGTTTATGCTTGCAGTCACAGCAACCTATAAAACAATAAAAACAAGAATACAACAGATTTCTTGTAATACTTGTTAAGTCATCACCTTATGTTTACAGAAAACTACAAACTATGAAATGTACAAAATGAAAATTTTTGTGGCAGAAGCAGGCAATTCACTAGGTAGCCTCTCAAAGGAGAGGGTCTCTCCCAGCTGAAGAAGCAATACAGAAAGAGTCCTGAAAGGAACAGCATTGCTTTCTTCCAGAAATTACATGCATCTGTAAGGCATGTTAGGGGAGCAATCTGGAATAATTTTGGATTTTAAAACAAGAATTCTGCTATAGCGGTGTTATATGCTGCTATAGTCCCTTAAAAATATTTGAGCAAGAATGTACAAATCCTCACAGAGAGACTACGTTTACATCCATAACCAAAGTGCACTTAATTATGAAACAGAATTTTTCTTGTAATGAATTATCCTTTGTTTCTGGCTGAGAGCGCTTTACAAATATGATCACATTAGTGCATTCAATCAGGAAACCAGAAGCAATAGCATGCAGATTAAGTGGCCAGTCACAATACTTGATAAGCAAATACTCAAGGCTGTGTGTGCTGTGAACAGATACTCAATAAATACTAATATCAAACACTTAAAGATGCATTTGTGTTAGCATATGTGTCCCAGTGAATATTCTGTGACTCGTTACAAAGCTCAGAACTTACATAATGCACTTGATACATAGTCACTGGAAATATTAAAATAGCTGATAAAGTGATATAACAGAAACGTTGCCTTTGTCAGCATAGTGAATTTTTGACTCAACATCATGAAGTATAGCTTCAGGATACATTTTACAGGAGAGGAAGAGAACATCTATCTGATTGACACATTCAACTTACTGGGATTTCCAATACATTTGCCAATCATTGAGATAAGAGGGACTAACATATGGAACATGGTCACAAAAGAAGGGACGCTGCAATAAGCGACAAAATGACACATTTTGAGTCACAATAAACAAACACGCATAAAACTGGGTGTACATACCTGATTTTTGGCAGGGAAACTTAGCAGGATTTTCAGATCTTTATCAGGTGCATGTGAAATGTTATACCAACCCTCTATGCTGTTTGAACGTGTACAATTTTCTTTTAATGTGCACCTAAAAGTATACATAAAATTATACTAGCTTCCTTATCGTGGCTTTGACTTCAGACACTATACTTCAACTTATTTAATGTTATTGATTTTTTACAGGAATATGGTTATAACTGCAAAAAGCTTCAGGAAAACAGTCAGTAAAATCTTCTGCTTATCAAAATAAATTACAATGCATTGACATCTGCTTTAGGGTCCTGATTAAGTCAATGGGACTCAAGCAAATATTAGATGCTTGGTCAGTAACAGTGGACTTGGTAGCCTGGGATGGAATTCATGGCCCCCAACTTGATTGCTCCATTGTACAGCTCTAGATCTAACATCCCCCCCCCGTTCCCTCTACAGTCAATGGGGAGAAATGTGCTCTTTCAGGGTGCAATTCATCTAACCTATTTTAGACATTCATACAAAAATGGAATGACTCACACTACAGAAGCTGCTCATTCACTCCAAAGAGTATAAGAGGAGATGAGGGTGAAGCTCAGATGTAGAGCTATGCTACAAATGTGTATAGTTGATGAGATGCATCCTCCTTCCTAATCTCCTCTGTCGTCCACTGATGTGAATGGTAATCTTTCCCTTTTATGTCAGTGTACTTGGTTAAAAACACCAGATTTGAAAAGGTAGTTCAAAATAGATTTCTCTGTCTTCAAGAATAAAATCCATTTCAGAAGTAGGATGGCACAAAGTAAATAAAAATGTTAGAGATGTCAAACTGTAGGAAACAGAAACTACACAACAGAAAATTAAGGAAGAAAGAGGAAATACTGGGATATAAAAGTACTACAAAGGTTACATGTATTAAAAGCATGTGATAAGAAAAAGAGAACATAGCCATACAAATTAGATGGACAATCACTGAGTTTGAAAGGTGAGTCCTTAAAATACCGTCTGCTGTGAACAGTTAATGAATAATCCAAAGATTAACTCCAAGTAATTTCATATAGCTAGCAATTAAAGACAAGTAAGTGCTAACTGTATATATCTTCATATTTTAATATTAGGATGGAATATTTAAAAATAAATGTAACATTTAATACTGTTTTAATAACACTACTTTTTTACCAAACATAGAAGCATGTATAGCTGCAATCATGTGATCAATGACATGTGCCTTAATGAACTATTCCTTCACTAAAAACTAGAAATGAGTACATACTTGCAAAGCACGGTCTTTTTTCATGAGGAGCTCACTGTATAAACGTATTTCACAAACAATGTGTTTTCTCTCCAGGAGGAATAACACAAGAATGACTTTCAAGAAAAATATCCACTGCTTTCCAAAATGTCTGAAATAACCCCACAAACCATAGAAACCATAAAGCCATCTTCTCTGTAGATCAAGACGTTGGCAACTGGAATGCAGTTAAGCACAAGGTCACTTCCTTTGTGGTCTAACTCAGGAAACTGAGTTCCTGCTGCACAAGAACCTGGTGGGGCTTTGCATCTGAATACATACAGATCATAACTATACTGTAAGAAATTGGGACTATGCCTGACGTATTTCAAACTGTCTGAACTAGGACAAATTTCAGTCTCATTTATATCTCTCTTCATCTTACTGAGATCACGAAGGTCCATTAGCACCACAGTTTTAGAACCACAGAGGATGGGATCTGCCATCAGCAGATGTGCATAAACCAGATGCTCGGATATGTACGGGTAGACAACTCTCACTGGGAATGACGCATGGGAGAGAGACATCCTACAGTTTCTGACAGGCTGAGGATCATAATGTTGAATCACAGAATCATAGAACAGTTTGGGTTGGAAGGGACCTCTAAAGGTCATCTAGTCCAACCCCCCTGCTGTGGGCAGGGACATCTTCAACTAGATCAGCTTGCTCAGAGCCCCGTCCAACCTGACCTGGAATGTTTCCAGGGAGGGGGCATCTACCACCTCTCTGGGCAACCTGTGCCAGTGCTTCACCATCCTCAGTGTAAAAAGTTTCTTCCTTATGTCTAGTCTATATCTACCCCCCTTTAGTTTAAAGCCATTCCCCCTTGTCCTGTCGCAACAGGCCCTGCTCAAAAGTTTGCCGCCACCTTCTTTATAAGCCCCCTTTAAGTACTGATAGGCTGCAATAAGGTCTCCCCGAAGCCGCCTCTTCTTTAGGCTGAAAAACCCCAACTCTCTCAGCCTTTCTTCACAGGAGAGGTGTTCCA